AAAAAAAAAAAAAAAAAAAAAGCAACCATTGGATTAGGAAATGTGGAGGTCCGTGGTGACTCTGACATGCAGCTCAGTGGAGGAGACTGGGCTGAAGCTTCATGGGAGGTTGCTGAGGACGACCTAAGTGAGAATGTACAGAAAGCTCTTGCAGGAAAGCTTGCTGTGAAGGAGAGATCAGACATGCGTCATAAGAGAAGGAAATTTTAATTGAGAAAAAGGGATACTAGACAATGTTTGGAGCCAAAGTGACAGGATCAATGGCCAAAAACTAATTTAAATAACGATACATAAGCTATTTTTTGGAACAGAGCTAGGAGGATGGGGGATGACATTCAGAGTGGGATACTGATAACTGAGATTTCAATTTTCTAACTATTATTAATAAGGTAAATGTGTGATCACGGGAAGTGGCTCAGATGCAATGCAGGAAAGGATCACGGCAGGTGAAGAGACTGTGGGCTTTCAGGTCCAAAATCCTGGGTAGATCATCCATTTGAGCTGTGAATACTCCCAAAGCGGTAACAAGAGTAGGGTAGAAAGAAAATGATCTAAGAACTAGATAGTTACTAAATTCATGTGTGGCAGGGAGATACTAAGGAAATCAAGGAATCCGTAAAAGGGAGTCAACAGGGAAAGGAGGTGCGTCGGTGAGACTCATGGCATGAGTTCACAGGTGCTGGGGTTCCTGACCAGGGTCGGGGGTTGGATGGCTGAGAAGCAGGAGGCAGCAGGGCCTGAGGTATGGCACCGGGGACAGATAGCACCTCTCCCTGACAGGGCTCTGAGGAGGCAGCATCATCGAGGGGCAGTGGCATTCTGGTTAGGTTTTATAAGAGGGTGTGGAGAACAACCACAGGATGGCGGAGAGCATGTGAAGCTCACTGACAAGTGCCAAGCTTGGGAGGCACAGAGGCGCCAACGATACCTGGAGCTGGAGAAACCATTTCCCAAGCGTGCCCTGTTCATGACCTTACCTGTGTTTCCTCTTGCAGTACACCAAGAGATTATCGAAAAGAAAAAACACCCGTTCTTGAATATTTCCGGAAGAAATTTTCAGTAAGACTCCACACATGAGCATCTCGGTGCAGGTGTCGGTGACGTTGGACCCCTGAATCGGGAGACATGCAAATGCGTCTGAGAACTTGACCAAAACTTTCACGGGTCATTATTTTTCTCCTTAACCTTAAACATACTTTAAAGCTAGAGGTAAATTCCTGATTATTGCTTAACTTACTGTTTCTATTTTTCATATTTGTGTTTGAAAATTCCGAACCTATATTTCATATTTCAATAATAATCACTGATAATAGCTTTTCTGGTCAACTACAAAAATGTAAGTTCAACTAACAACTCATACCAACAATAAGAAACATCCAAACTGGGAAGCTAATTACAAGAGTTTTATTATATTAACTTGATTATTTATATTACAATATATTATATTATATTTATATTAAATTCAGTATAATAGATTTGAAAAAAATCTCCATAACTTCACATACTTTGTCTTAAGTACATTAAGCAAAGACTGACATAAAATATGAATATAAGTCCCCACTTCAGCAGTAATCATTTCTTATTACATATTTAGAAAGAATACTATCTCAGAAAAAAGTTAGAATGGAATTAAAATGCAAAAAAGGAAACTCGTGTTGATTCCTGTATGAGAGACCGACAGAACATTATGAATAGTGGCTGGAATTAATAGTAGTTCACCAACGGTACAGGGTACCTTCTCCTTAGACTGTTGTGGTGACAGTGGAAAGCCAACCCACCCAGGAGGATATACTGTTCTGCTGGGGAAGGGTTAGTGAAGCTGTTACCCTGGTATGCACATTAAATAAATCTTTCAAGTCAATGCCTCAAATTAACATATGCAAATAGAAGGTGATGCATTACTATATGACAAAAATCTTAACAGTACATTTCTTCACTTGTTGCTAGTTGTCCTTATTAATAAATCCAAGGAAATTGGGCTATAATGGCAACCTTGTCTTACAACTTGTTCAAAGTAGATCAGGGTGTCCAACTTATTTTTTTTCCTGCCACGCACTGGAAGAATAAGAGTTGTCTTGGGCCACACAATGCACCAACCATAATGAAAGCTGATTAGCAAAAAAAAAAAAAAAAAAAGGTTCGTGCATATGTTTTGTGATATCCAATACCACAGATGAGCAAAGTCCTCACCAAATCAGTGTGCCGCCCCGGGGCTGCAGGTCGGACACCCTGCATTATCTTTCTCCTGGCTACCAACCTGTACAGCACGTTACTGCACTGGATGCTGTAGGTGATTAGAATCACAAACACTTGTGTATTTAAACATAGCTAAATATAGAAAAGGTAGAGTAAAAAATGTGGTATAAACTGCATGCAATGCTAAGTGGTATATTATAACATTATAATATAGTATATGAATACAGCATATTATATATTAAGCGTGTCATTATATATAAAAACATACTCATAATACAGTAGAACCTCCACAGTTTCCCTACACTGACCACCTCCTTACCTTGACCGAATTTCACAGACCAGACATGCACCACATGTACATATCAGTACAGTAGGCCTAGTTCCTTACGCTGACCACCTCCATATGTTGACTGGTTTGCTACAGTCCGTGGGTGGTCAACTTGCAGAGGTTTTATTGTATAATGAGATATATATCATATATATATGCATTATATGTACAATATATTATGCAAAACATGTATATTATATTTCATCTTTACTGTAACTTTCCTATGTTTAGATACACAAATATTTATATCGTGTTACAACTGCCTACAGTAGAGTATCAGTATAGTGAAATGCTGTACAACTGTGGTCCCTAACCCCAGGGCATCAGACTGAAACCAGTGAGTGGGCTGTGAGCTGGTGAGCCAGGAAAACACCATCTGTATTTACAGCCACTCCCCATCACTCGCATCACTGCCTGGGCTCTGCAGTGAGTGGCAGTAGATTCTCACAGGAGCACAGACACTGCTGCAAACAGCACATGGGGATCTAGGCTGTGCTGCCCTTATGACATCTAATGCCTGAAGATTGGAGGTGGAGATGTAAGAGCTTGAGTCTCTTCCAGAGACCACCAAGCCATTCTCTCCTTATCACCCTCCCCCAAGTCCACAGGAAAAATTGTCTCCCATAAAACTGGTCCCTCATGCCCAAAAGGTTGGAGACTGCTGCTTACAAGTTCATAGCCTAAAGCAATATGCTCTGACATACAGCCTAGATGTTTAGTAAGCTATACCATCTAGGTTTGTGTAAGGACACTCTATGATGTTAACACAGTAACAAAATCACTGAATGACACAGTGCATTTCTCAGAACGTACGCTGCAGTTAAGCAACATATGCACAACAAAACTTTACCTAAATGGAAACTAAAGTCCAGTTTTTAACATGCCTACAACACCCTGGGCAAAGTGCTGAACCTTTTCTCATCTGGTGTAAATTTCTAGCAAGTTGGCTTCATTGTAATAGGGAACTATTCACTAATCAATTGACCAACGTATTAAATTAGACTACAATTTCAGTTCTCCTAGTTAACCCTCAGGTCTTTCTCATGCATTTTTGTCAACTAAATATTGCCTGTCAATATCAGAAAAACACAAACTGACTGCCGAGAGAAACTACTACCTTGGAAAAGATGAAAGCTGACAGGAGGTCTTATAACTTCTCCAGTGCATGGGCAGGTGAATATCTAACAGGGCTCGTCCTATTCCCAGTGGAAAAGAAACTTAATAAAAATGATGAGATGGGTGCTTCATAAGACAACAGTTTTTATATCAAAAATGTCTCTTCAGAAATAGATGAAGCATTTGAGTTTTCTTACCAAAGAATCTTTTTAAAATATCATAAAATCAACCATGGAATAAAGAATACTCTATTGTTTTATCATATAATTTTATCATAAAATGAATGACCTCCCCCTTAAAACACCAGACTCAGCATTTGATTCACTCTTTGTGAGGTTCAAATTATTAAATAATATTATAAACTGAATTCTGCTATATGTCAGATAAAACAAACAATAATATAAATTTTCATTTTACCAAGATAACGTCCTATCGAACTTTCCCTCTCTCCCACTTCATATGAAACGTTCCTCTTTTAAAGTGGTTTTACTATCAGTGGTCTTTTTCCAAGAACCACCTATCGTCAAATATCAAGAAGCATCTATAAATCAATTCTATCTCAAGGCAGTAGACAAATTTGTGTCTACCAAATCAGTCAGTACAGAAGACAAAGAGAAACCGTCCCATCACCAGCATCTGCAAGGCGCACATCCACGAAATAACAAGAAACGTGACCTGAAGTCAATACGGTGTCAGAACAAACTCAGTCAAATGTCAGCAGCAAATATTCCCAAACTAACACGAGGTGATGTTAAAGTAGTCTTGTAGCATTGCTGTTTCTCCATGTAAAAAGCTAGTCAAAATTCTCAAAGTCCAATTGTTTCTCTTTGCATTGTAAAACAAAATAACTACCTTGAATCACATTTTTCCCCACACCTTCATAGGTTAGTAAGTCGTCCTCTCATCTTTTGCTGCGATACTTTTTTCTAGATTTGAAAGGTCAATTCTAAACAGGCATGTCAAGGACTTAAAGCTGAATTACTAAAAGAAGTAATGCTTATCAGTACTCCCTTGTCAAAATGCTTCAGCATGACTGCAAAGATTACAGTTATCATTACAACACAAAGGATCAACCCAGAAGCAGGCTCAGTCTGAGAACGGCCCTGTTCTATGAAATGAATCACTGACTCTGAGTAAACAGCTAATAAACATCTGTTCCAAGGCACATTAATCATTTCCCTATGATTACCTTCATTAGACTATCTTGTGGTATGTCCTGAATGTGGCATAAGATAAATGACTGAGATATAATAAATTATAGTAATAAAAGGCCTAACTTCAAAAATAAACAATTAAAACATAAACTATAGATCTTCTGGGGTGGCAGTTACCACAAAAGTGCTGATGAAAACCTACTATCTGTAGTATGATCAGCTTTCATCTGAAGGACCACGAGGAAAACAAACTTAATCCAAAGAGTTTGTGAAACTTTTATCACACTGGACATAATATCACATGGGAATAGATGCAGATGCCTATTTCCAAATCTAAATTTTTCCAGCTGTCAATTATAAGAACTTGGGTAAGTTAAATAGCCATCATTTCTTTTAAATCTGTGTAACGGGGATTATAATAACACTCAGCAACTGTGGAGACTTGCTAAGACGGTAATGCATCCGCTGGAGGATCAGTATTTCTCCAGAAAGGGGATTAAATGACTGGCAGTCAAGGACCTCTGCCCTCCCCTTAGCAAATTTACCCAAGCAAGATGAGTGGAACCTTGGATTTTGACCTTGAATCTTGAATGTAGCAATATCAAGATGGAAAAAACTATTAGAGCCTCTTCATTTTAACCAGGGAGCTGATGACACCACCAAACAGTTCCAGCTCCCTCCACGCTCTTTTCAAGTCTGATATGGTAGCTTTTCTATTGATTCTGTGAGCTACCCAATATCTTTTAAATTAATTTTTCTCTTAATTTCTATTGGTTGAAACCACATAACCTTAAATAATATAATACCTTCAGCAGATAGGCGCATATATTAGACAACTGAGAATTTCTCAAAGCTTTAAAATATGATCTAATATTTTGCACAGCCTTGTACAGTATTCAAAGTACTCTCACTTATTTCATTTGACATCTGCAATAATATACCCTATATACAGGAGAGGGGTGCTGTATTATCTCAAATGATTTGCATACAATAAATTTCGATTGCTGTGTGTGCCTAAATTCAACACACAGAAATGTAAATAATTTAGTAGCCCAAAAGGCTACATAGGCAAATTCCTGGAGAGATTTTATGGTAAAAAGATGGCTTCATTTGACTGCTGAGGAAATAAGACCCTAGATAATTTCGTCATTTATGTAAAATAAGAATCCACCTAAAATGGAAATAGTGCAAATTCATGGGGCATCAGACCTGCATCCCATTCAGTGCAAGTTTCATTTTGTAAGGTGGTCCTGAAGGGTCTTCGGGAACTTGTGGAGGTGCTGGAGAGGAGCTGTTTACCACCATAAGCACGAGGCTCCTCACCTCAAAAACTCTTCCAGGAGCTCTGTGTTCTGTAACTGTCAGGTCACCCTACATCACCCTATATCTGAATTGGGCCCTGTCCTCACCCTGCCGGAGCCACAACACGTACACACAAGGCTGTCTGCAGGCTGAGCAGTGATCTCTGTAAGCAATTGAAAGAAAACTAAACTATTCCCACCCCCTCCCACAGCCTGAATTCAGCCCCTTATGAGTCTGTGTCCCTGCGGAGTCCTCTGAGGCTAACACTTTCTCCTAAACTTGCCAGAAGAGACCACGCCTGAGTACTGACAGTTCTCCCTTTTCTGGAGTTGTGGACCTGGATGTACAATCAAGTTCTCATTACCAGATGCCAACCTGTTGGTTGGGCCCTGCTCAAGCTGCTGCATATCCCTAATGTCCCCAAACTCCCTAATCCAGCTGTGTCTTGCACAATCACTGTCAAGTCCTACTCGAGTAGAATTCATGTTGCCACACTTCTTGGAACCCAACTTTCATATTATTTCTACCAAAGTGTATTCCTATCTGATCTCCCTAAACACCACAGAATTCCTGTTTCAGTGCCTCATTTTTCTCTTTCACTCAGAGTGTTATGAAAGCACCAAAGCTGGTGAAGTAAAGGGACACTCTGCTGAGGACAACATGAGACCCACTACAGCCCACATGTATTCTCCTCTCCAGTGACTGGTGCATACTGTACAAATGATATGAATAATTTTTAAAGAATCTCTCATTTTTGCATTAGACTCCATTTTAGGATATATACCAGGATGAAACAAAATTATGACAGAGTCCATTTCCCTAGGGCACCAGAAAGTTCCTGAAGGTTTTGTTTTAGTAAAAGTCCTGGCAGATTTCACTGACAAATCCTACAATTTAAAACAAGTTCGGTTTTTCTTCCAGCGTTTGAGTGACAAGGGAACTGCAAAAGCAAACTTTAGTCCATTTTTCTCATCCCAGCAGGACAACGGCTCCCAGGAAAGGAATTATCATCATGAATCAACTGTAAAACACACAACCATTTTAACTGATTGAAAGAGGTCACCCAGACACTTGAAATGGGAGAATACAGACAAAGAGAAAGCTACGTCAGAGCCCGGTAAGCACAAAGATGCACAGCAGAAAGTGGACAAACTGGAGAATTCCTTAAGGTCCGTGTCTGAGGTTTCTTTGCATATCTGGGTGGATATAAATTTCAAGTCCAAATGAAAACTAACAGTGAAGACGAGAAACAAATTCAGCCCTAAAGCCTTGAAGATGAAAGCAATCCACTTGCTTTTCTGTTATACAGTATTGGGCTGGGAGCATTTTCAGTCTTCTTTACACTTTTAAAAATTACCTTCATTGCTTACTCTATAATAAGCAAGAAAAAATTTAACCTAGTCCAAAGCTCAAACTCATTTAAATTGAGGAAATTTAAAGACCGGGTCTTATTTTATTCTTTGTATGGAAGTGAAGTAATACAGAACTCCAACCCCATGAAACAACTGAGATTCAAAGTGACCAAAGCTGAAAACATTGTATGGATTCTGAACCATATTCTTCATTTGCTTTTTTGACATTTAAAAATTTTTCCTTGGCTTGGTGCCCGTAGCACAGTGGTTACAGCACCAGCCACATACACCAAGGTTGGTGGGTTCAAACCCGGCCCAGACCAGCTGAATGACAATGACAACTGCAACAAAAAATAGCCAGGCATTGTGGCAGGTGTCTGTAGTCCCAGCTACTTGGGAGGCTGAGGCAACAGAATCACTTAAGCCCAAGAGTTTGAGGTTGCTGTGAGCTGTGATGCCACGGCGCTCTACCCAGGGCAACAGAGTGAGATTCTGTCTCAAAAAAAAATTTTTTTTCCTTAATGACTGGTGAAATCCTAGCATTTTCCATCTTAAATGGACCTTAAAAATTAGATTGTAACAAGCTCCTTCAGTCTAGAAATGAAGACACCAAAACTTAGGTTAGGTGGACTTAAAATAGAGTTCAACATCAAACACCTAATTTAGAATCTAAAAGCATACACAGTGAACCTTATTCCCCATCTTCACTTTCTCAAGGATTCAGGCTATGTACTTATTAACCAAAGGTAAGGCACGGAAAAGGATCATCACGATGCACAAATGCTGAAATACCAAAGCCTATAGCCCACACAGATTTATCTGGCTCCATCACAGACCTCCCAGGGTAAGCCCATGAGCTGCCACCATGAAGTTATTTTAAGGGCAGGTGCTATGGCTTATGCCTGTAATTCCAGCGATTTAGGAGGCTGAGATCACTTCATGCCAGGAGATTAAGAACAGTTTGGGTCAAACAGCAGGTCTATTTTTAGTTCTCTAAGTGTTCTCCAGATGTCTTTCCAAAAGGAACGTACTAGTTTACATTCCCACCAGCAGTGCAGGAGTGTTCCCTTTTCTCCACATCCACGCCAGCATATCTGGTTTTGGGATTTAGTGATATGGGCTAATCTTACTGGAGTTAGGTGATATCTCAAAGTAGTTTTGATTTGCATTTCTCTGATGATTAAGGACTTTACATCCTTCATGTTCACATGGATGGAGCTGGAAAATGTTCTTCTTAGCAAAGTATCACAGGAATGGATGGAAAAGTATCCAATGTACACACACCTATTATGAAATTAATTTAAACCTTTTTATATGAAAGCTATAGCCTAATAACAACCTAAGGATACAGGGAGGGTGGAGGGAGGGGGAGAGGGTGGAGGGAGAGGGATTCGAGGGTTCACTTCTGTGGTTCATCTTACAAGGGTACAAGTGAATCTTTTTATGAGTAGAATATGAATGTTTTAACACAATAAATAAGAAAGTTACATGAAGGCTATGTACCCCCAAAGTGCATCAATGTACACAGTTACCATTCAATAAAAAAAAAAGAACAGTTTGGGCAACAAAGCAAGACCCTGTCTCTACAAAAAAATTTTTAAATTAGCCAGGTGTGGTGACACACACCTATAGTCCCAGTACTTGGACAACTGAGGTGGGAGGATTACTGGAGTCCAGTAGATCAAGGTTACAGTGAGCTACGATCATGCCACTGCACTCCAGCCAGAGTGACAGGGTGAGACCATGTCTCCGTAAATAAATAACCAAATACATGAACAAATAAGTAAATAAAATATTTTACAATGCTAATCAAGGTTAGCACTTTTCAGAATTAATTACAGTCCTCTAGTCCTTTTCTATCCAGAAAAACTGAGCATCCAGGGTCCCATCTAATACTGAGAATCCTACACGTAGCATGCTACATAAAACTAGCTTAAGCCTGATGGTTGAGCAAAGTGAATGTACCTCCCAGCCTTCAATGTGTGACTGCCATTCCTCTAAAACTTCTAACTTCTCCATCTGTCTCTTGGCCTCATTTATGTTGGAACAGACAGCTTTCATGGCTTGGAGGGCTTCCATCACTGCTGCGTAGTCACTGTGTTTCCGTGGAGTCCGCTTCAGCAACTCCTGTTTATACACACAAAAACAAATCACCCTTTGATCTTCAGCTTTCTGGTACAGCAGGTTCAGACTGACCAGGAAATGAAAACTGCAAAGATCGTGAGAGCCACTTTAATAAGCGACATCACAAACTCCTCAAAGATTAAGATCAAAAACAAAAGGTCAAATCAGTAAGTGTTACCCCAATGCACATTTTGCAGTCACTTTAACTTTTCCCTCAAACTTATTTTGTTTTTAAAAATTAAGCTGCGTTTCTACTTTCAAATTGGCAAATGTTTCGCCAGGAGCATATAATTTTTTTTATAAGTTTGACTTTTGCTCAAACAGAAGCATCTTTATATGTAATTCATTTTTTTTTTTAGTCTTTCACAGAAAAATAATCTTCAAATGAATACATTCCATAATTTCAAAAATAATTTGAATGCCTTATTTTTTAAAATCTCTTGGGGAAACTATAAAAACACATTATAAAACAGCAAAATCTTTAAATAACATTTTATACACCCCAGCAAAATAATTTATACATTCCGCAGGAGCAATTTATGCTTTTTCCCCAGTCACTCAGGTTCATTCTTTGTGATGAATGAACTGCCATAACCTATCCCTCAATACCTTTGTTTTTTGTTTTTGGTGTTTAGGAGGGTTTTTTAATTTTTATTTTTTTGGCTCTTATTTTTTTTTTCATTCATCAAAACTAGAATAATCTTTAATCTTTTAAACATATTAAAATGTTTTTTCGATGTTGTTTAGAAACACCAAATTAAACATCTTCACCCGCCGTCTAGACAGTTGTGACCACATTGCTTTCTAATTAGTCATTTGTTTCTCTACTACAGTTGCCATCACCACGTCACTAACACAATCACAGAAACTCTGAGGCAACTCTTGAAAAGAATTTTCAAAATCCTCCGCATATAATGGAAAAATCTACAGTTGTTTTACTCCTCTGAGTTCTGTCCTCTTACTGTTAAGAGTTCCACCATTAGCTCTGACCCCACGTTTGGTAAGTTCACACCATTGGCAGAGTGAACAGCAGCAGACCACACATTACATCACCCCTAGACCAGGTTTAAAGAGTGACACCAAGTCACAAATCCATAGAATAGAAAAGCAGGCTTCTCAGAGATTCTGTGCATTGTGTGATGTGGTCAAGGTCAGTCGGCAGGGCTTAATCTGGGCCTTATAAAATTGTGCCCCCTGGGTATCTGTGGAGTTGAGACATGAATTTACGGCATGTGAAACAGAGAGAGAGAGACAGCCATCAGGTACTTGCTATGAACCCCGTGGTGATTGGCCAACTCAATAATTTCAAGTTCCACAATTAACACCAATACATCTGTTTTTCAAACACTATAGCCCAATCCAATTATAATTATATTTTTCTCTGAATAAATAAAGTCATCTCAAATCAAAGAGAATCCCAGTACAATTTTTCAACTGGTAGTACACAAAGACAGACATCAACATTAACCCCAATACAGGGCCTACATAAGCAAATGGTTTTTCCATGTTTCTTTGTGAAATTGTATCTTCCAAAAAAGGGGAAAGAATGTCATCTCTCCCCTGCTTGAAGGGGCTCTGAACTGACATCTTTCTTGCTAAGCAAAGATGTGTCCACAATGCTATCTTCTGCAAGGTCAGTTCAAATAGCTGAGTTATCCCTAATTGTCAAGGAGTGACTTAGAACAACCACTCTGTCATGACATAGTCTTTATATCCACATCCCTGTGTATTCTTAGAACCAAATAATCCCCAGAATTTCAAATCAGGATCAGGAATCAGTGCAGTTCTGAAGACGCACACAGTGTTAGGCATTAAGCCGGAGGTACATAGGGATTCTCAGAATGACAGGAGGCACATTTGTACCAGTGCTCCCTACCTCCAAAGACTGCACCAAAGTTCTGCAGAACTGGGGACCCCTGTGTCAGCCTCTCTCTACGGCTCCTTATGGCTTAACCAAGCAACTCTAGACTTGTTTTTGTGAATGAGAAAAAATCTTTCTAAAACAAATTTTACACAGATATTTAATTTATACAATTGTCAAAAGTTGTAATTAAAAAATGCATTTTTGTCCAAACTCATAACACTTATTTCTTAAAAAGCGAATCAAGAAAATATCAGTCCATAGCATTTGAGTATTTTTAAAAATTTGGATGCCAAGTGATAATTAATATGTTAAAATAAATCAGAATCAACTAGGTAAGAATAGTAATGGCTCACATTTATGAAGAATATACACTAAATTAAATGATTGATATCAAACAATTAAATTAATCCTTATTAGGTAATCACATGTATGCATATAGATGTGCATTCACACACAGACCCATATATACACGTTCCTGTAGGTATGTACTATTATAAAATCATCACCAGCATTCTCTCTGTGTCATAAATGAAGAAGCAAAGCCCTGAGTTTGTATGACATGCCCCAGTCACACAGCAAGTAAGGAGAATACTTCGGATTTGAACTTGGAGCTCACATGCTTACTCATAACTCCAAACTGTCTGATGTTATGGTTCCAAAAGAGGTGGGTTCAAAATTTGCTATTCTGATCCATTGTAGTACATTACAATTGCTTTCATAATATAAATACTGGTTACCATAATGAGGCAGCAGGCCCAGAATCATTAGTGTGGCATTTCTATCTTCCACAGGCCATGTCTTCTTAGCAATCTCATTCTACATTCCATCATTTATTGCCCCATGTGACCCACACCATTCCCTTATTATAATTCTTTAAAACCCAGGTTCTGAAATTGTGTAATTTTGACCCTCACTTCACTAGTATCACAAAGTCGCCCAAGTTTAAGGAAATCAAAAAACATAGCACCAGTGGACTTACTGAAAAGAATGGGCCGTACGATGTGCTATGTAAAACTGGTCATAATGAACTTAATGGGATCTGTCATGAAACTAATGCATTTCCTCTAAATGAAACTCAAAACAAGTATGTTTTCTAGAAGCCTCTTTTAGTAGCTTTTCCACTGAAAATTTGTTTCCTGCACTATAAATAAATTTGTGGCAAAATAGCCATTTTTTTCCCAATAATTATGGCCGGCCCTTTTTTTTAGAATGTCAGACTTTTCAAAAGGAAGAAATTTTAAAAGATCATCAGCAAAAGATGCAGGTATAAGGAAAAGGCCAGAGTGAGGTAGGATATAAGATACCTTCAAAATGAGAGGGTACTTGCATATTCTTTGTATTGGAGTTACTAAATATCCTTCCAAAGGAACGTCTGTATTCTTCCGTCCTCCAAGCAGCATGCAGTTCTGGGATAAAAATAATTATTAATGTAATTATTAATTACAATTTTAAATCTTAGGTGGTGAAACATTCATGAAAGCTTATACCTTTATATATCTTCTTTGTCTAAGAAGGGTACATTCAGTCACAAATAACATTTACAGAGAGAGAAAAATACTTAGGATAGAACCCAAAATGTGTTTTAAATCTGTATCTTAAAAATTAACTCACATATATTCTTCAACGCATATAGTCTGAAAAAAAAGACAGAAATGAAAAAGCGATAGAGATATGGATGGATGGATGGATGGATGGACAGATTTTGCATATAAAGAAACGGTACACTGTGTTGTAGAAATGTAGGCATAGGCTCCGCACCTGTAGCTCACCGGCTAGGGTGCCAGCCACATACACCGGAGCTGGCAGTTTGAATCCAAGCCAGGCCTGCCAAACAACAACGACAAGCTACAATCAAAAAAAGAAAAAAAATAGCTGGGCATTGTGGTGGGCACCTGTAAGCCCAGGCATGCTCAGCTACTTGGGAGGGTGAGGCAAGAAAATCATTAAGCCCAAGAGTTTGAGATTGCTGCAAGTGGTGACAAAGGTGAGATTCTGTCTCAAAAAAAAAAAAGAAAGAAAGAAAAGTAGGGTATACCAAGGGTGTAGTCTACCAAGGGTGACAAAGTGAGATTCTGTCTCAAAAAAAAAAAAAAAAAGAAAAGAAAAAGAAAAGTAGGTATAAAAACAATTTGGTTCTAACTCAGTCTCAGCCATTGACTAGTGATACAACTTGGACTGACTTCAGAATTCCAGTTGTCCTCTCTATAAAACAGGCAGGGTTTAAGCAGGTGGTCTTTAAGTTACTTTTTGCTATCACACTTTACCAAAGATCCTGGCCAGCCAGTGTCAGAGGAGGTCTTGTCCAAAGAGATGAATGGAGAATTCTCAAAATCAGCAACCAGAGTAAGGTGAAACTGAAGCAGGTTCCACTGAACATAAAGTGTTGGTCAAGAGAAACTGACTCAATAAATAAAGTCTTGACCCTCAAAAGCAGCAATGAAAAGAAACAGACGTGAAACTTGCCAAAGCTTTGTTTCTACAGTGCCTGTGAGAATGACTGGCAGAGAAGAAGAATGTAATAAATATCTAACATAGGAAGAAGAAGTATGTAATGAATGTCTAACACAGCCACTCAAATGGCTGAATGTTGAGCAAGACAGGATGCAGTGGTGGCAAAACAATCCTCCACTGTCCTGAACGACTCACTTTGTTTATCCCAGGCAGCTAAACCAGAGCCATGAGTGCAAGTTCACCCAGACACCTGAGAAGGCAGAACAGCAAATACATGTCCTGACATGTGTTCATTCCCTGCTGAAATCAGGTTAACAAAATAGTCTTTCAAACTATGGATAGTATTTTTCCCAGAAAAATCCTCAAACACGACTACCTACATCTCATTATATTTGTTTCCAGTGATCTATCAGTGTCCAGCGTGAGTTAGCACCCCTGTAGAAGTGGCCCTCCCTTACCTACCTCCAGGCTAAAGTGCCCTAAGAGAACCCCTGACACTCTAGTCTAGCCAGTTACTTCCTTGTCCACTAGCACTGCTCAGAATGTGAACTCTCTTCAGAAGAGCAGATGTTGATCTCCACTTTGGGCTGGCTTATGAGAGCCAGCTATCTCCTTACATATAAATAAAGCATATACATAAAGAATGCATACATAAAGAATATGCTCCCTAAACAAGCTCCCAAAGATTTCACTGATCATAAAAACTTACTGAGGTAACCCAAAATGACAATACGATCATCACATCACCCAAAACCTATAAATTCCTATATACTTGTCAAACAGTGATTATTATTCACATCTTATGAATAAGGAAAATGATACCAGAGATAGAGTAAATATCAAAAAGCCATCCAGAAAACGTGTGGTCAGCACCAGGGCAAGTATGATACAAACCATGTTCTAGCAACCAGACTATTCTATAAGATCATCTAAAACCAGCATTCTTGACTTGGGACATTTTCAGTGTGGCTTCACATAATTCACGAGGAAAATGAGACCCCCAAGTCAATCCTGCTGGGAACAGACTGCATTAGCTAAAATCACAGAGTTCTCCCCCTTTACACAGAGCCTTAAAATTTCATCAGGATAAGGGCTTCTTCTAACCATGGCAGAAGAAGAGATTAGTAAATGCTCTTACCTCCAAACACCTGTAATACTGAGGGAGAAAATGGAATTCTTGCCCAGGCTTCTCCCGCTCCTATGTCCCCTGCCCTCTCCAACTTATTCTACCTTTCATGGTATCACAGGTCCTGAAAACCTGCTGCCAGAGAGGTCTACAGGAGGCTGCAGAGGACAAAAATCCCACACTGGTGGTGCTGTCAATAAAATTAGCATATTCCATAAGAAAAAATAGGGAACGTCCACAATTCTAGCCTGAGATTACCATCCTTCCTGAAGCAAATATTAAATTGGTAAATTAGCCAAAATTTTAATAGAATAACCTGGAAAGCTACAGAGGGCTTACAGAAACTCTACATTTATCCTTGTGCATATGCAGTGAAGGCCTGAAAGGGATCCATGAGAAGAGAAAACCAGACCTGACTTGAAAATGCCCTGCCCTTGAATGTGCCCTGACCACGCTCACAGGCAGACCTATGGACAAGGTAGAAAACCATGTCTGACCACCTCTGACAAGTCACTGACCACTAAGTCAAGCACTCACAGGACTGATCCCTAAAAACCTAGGCTAAATTATAAAAACTTAAAACTGAGCAGATGTCCTTATTTGCACATATAAGTGAGACAGGTTCATAGATTAAGTCAAGGCAAGTTACTAAAAACAAAACAGAGCAAACAAAAATGATAACCAACTTAGGAGGAAAAATATCAGAATCCAGAGTTGCTACAATATATGCATGTCTAGTTTTCAATGTGAAATATGAGATATGCAAAGGAATCGGAAAATGCAACTCATATCCAGTTAATGTAAACTAACTCTGAGTATACCCAGATGTTGGATTTACAAATGAGAGTCCAAATAGCTATTTTAAATATGTTCAAAAGAATATCAAAATCCTGTTAAAAAACTTAAGGGATGGGTGATGCCTGTGGCTCAAAGGAGTAGAGCACCAGCCCCCTATGCCAGAGGTGACAGGTTCAAACCCAGCTCTGGCCAAAAAAAAAAAAAACTTAAGGACAATATGCTAATACTGAGTAAACAAATAGAAAATTTCAACAGAAAATTAGAAACAGAAAATTAATCAAATCCAATAAACATAAAATAAAATAATTTACTAGCTAGGCTAAAGAGTAGATGTGAGATGGAAGAAAAAATAGTCAGTAAAGTTGATAAAAAATAAGCAGAAACCATCCGATCTGAAGAACAGAGAAGAAAGGAAGGACTATGGAGAAATGAAAAGTGGGTCTGGAATCAAGGAGCGACATGAAGCTTACCAACACCAGGAAGGGGGGTCGCTAAGGAAGAGAACAAAAGGGTCAGTTATATATATATTTAAAACTAAATACTAAATATATTTTAAAACTAAAAACTTCCCAAATTTGAAGAAAAAAATTAATCTATAGGTTCAAAAAGCTCAACTATAAGAAAAGTTCTTATATCCACAGATAAAGATAGCACCATTGAATTATTGAAATACAAAGAGAAATCTTGGAGGCAGCAAGAAAGAGCAAAATGACCTGTCTCGTCAGTTATAACAACAATACAATCATAGGAGGAGGCTTCCCATCAGACACAATGGAAGCCATAAGGTAGTGGGATGAGAAATTCAAAGCACTGAAGGGAAAACAGAATCTATCAGTCAGGAGTTCTATATACAACAAAACTACCCTTCAAAAAGGAAACCAAAGTGAAGACATTGCCACATAAACAAAGACGGAGACTTGAAGTCACTGTCAGTAGAAATCTTACAAGGACTAAAGGGAAGTGATCCAGGCTGAAAATCCTAACATCAGAGTCAAATACACAGGAAAAAAATAAAAGCACCAGAAATGTAAAAGGCAGATATGTAAGTAAATACAAAAGTCTATAGAAAAATGCAGAAGGTAATAGTTGTAACACTGTGTTATGGAGTTCTTAACATATAGGATATAATATACATAGTAATAATAGCACAACAGAGAGAGAAAATGCAACATGTCTCATTTCCACCCAGAAAATATGGTGGCAAAATGTCCCCTTATTTCATTGGCTTAAGTCAGTATTAACCTAAACAGAATTGATAAGTTAATAGGCACATGATAGTTCCTAGATCAATCACAAAAAAAAAACAAAACTCTAAAACATATAGTTAAAAAACAACAGAGAAACTAAATTAGTATACTAAAAATACTTTTTAACACAAAAGTAGGCAATAAAAGAGGGGCAGAGGATCAAAAAAAAAAAGAAAACAAGAAAAAAATTAAAAATGGTACATGTAAACACAACTGTATCATAATTACATTAAAGGTAAACAAACTAAACACTCCAATCAAAGGCAGAGATTGTCAGACTGGATTGAGAAAATTAGGAACAAACAATATGCCTTCTACCAAATACATTTCAAGGACCATAAAGACTCTGAAATTAAAATAATGGAAAAAGATAAAATATACAAACAGTAAGAGCTATCATGGCTAGGAAAAATAGACTTGAATAGGGACAAAGAGGGACATTTTCTGATGATCAATGGAAATATAAATATAACAATTATGAAAGCATGCATATCTAACAACAGAGCCCCCAAAATACATAAAACAAAAACTGACAGAATTGAAGTGTAAAATGGACAATTTAATTATACTTGGAGATTTCAATATCCCACCCTTGATAACTGGATAATTTAATAATATGAATAATAATGATTAATAGCTTTGTTAATTCATATAGATAATAATTATTCATAGCTTTAAACACATTAGAAAAGAAACAGAAAAGGTCATGAAATCTCTCAGTGAACTAGGAATATAATGAAACTTCCTCAACCTAAAACATGACATCTTCTAAAAAGGCCTATAGTGAAACATCATACTTAATGACGAGAGACTAAAAAATCCCCCATCCTCAGATCAGAAACAAGGCAGAGGTGCCTGCTCTTACCACTTCTATTCAACTCATACTGAAACTTCTAGCCAGGAAAAAAAAAAAGGGCATCAACATTGGAAAAGAAGTAAAACTGTCTTTGATGTGATTCTGTATGCAAAATATCCTAAATAATCCTACAGAAGAACTACTTAACTAGCACATAAATTCAAATAAAAGGATACAGTGTCAATATACAAAAGTCGAGTAAATTTCCATATACTAACGCTAGTACAAAAATGAGATTAAGACAATTCCAACCACAATAGCATCAAAAAAGAATAAAATACTTAGCAAAAAACTTAACAACATAAGTACTAGGTACTAGGCCTAAATAGAGATTTCTTGTATATGACCATAAAAGGATGATCAAAATGGACAAAAGGTAATATACTGGACTTGATTAAAATTTAAAGCTTTTGATTTTAAAAGACAATATTTTTAAAATGAAAAGACAAACCACACTAAGAGGAGGTATTTGCAAATTATATATCTTACACACAGATAGGACTTTTATTTAAAATAATAACTACTTATTGCTCAATATGCGATAAACATCCCAATTTAAAAGATTTGAGTAAGCATTTCACCAAAAAAGATATGAGTGTCTAATAAGCACATGAAAGCATGCTTAATATCATTACTCATTAGCGAAATGCAAATTTAAACCACCATGAGTTACTACTACACACCCACTAGCACAGCTATAATCAGAAAGAATGAAAATTACCAAGTCTTGACAAAGATATAGAAAAACTAGAATCCTCATGCTAGTGGACACGGCACAGCCACACTTGCAAATCATATGCATACAACCCAGCCATTCTACTTGGTATCTGCCCAAGAGAATAAAAATCAACATCCTCCCCAAGACTTGTACATGCATGTTCATAACAGCATTATTTACAGTAGCCAAAACTGGACTCAGACCCAATGTTTATGAACTGGCAAATGGATAAACAAAACAGTATATCCACACAATGGAATACTATTCAACAAGAAAATGAATGGAAAATGGATCCATGCCATAACAAGGGGGAACCTCAAAAACATTTTACTAAGTAAAAAGAAGCCAGGCACAGAAGATTACGCTAGATGATTCCACTTTTATAAAATTTCCAGGACAGGCAAATCTATAAGACAAAAGCCAATCCCTGGTTGCCTGGAGTTAATGGTGAAAGCAGAGATGGGCTGTAAAAGGACATGAAGAACTTTCTGAGGAGATGAAAATCACCTACAACCGGATTGGGGGGGGTGGCTATACAACACCACAATTTGCTAAACATCACTGAACTGTACACTTATGATCTGGTCCTCACTGGCCATTAAATTGTCCGAGTAACTACCAAAGTATGCATTTATTTTTGCTAACCTAACTACCAAAGTATGTATTTATTTGTGCTATTTTTACAAAAACCAAATAGGGAACATATGTAAGAGAAAGGTCAATCTTTATAATTATTTCCTACCATATCCGTGATTTACTTCCTTCCTGCCACTGCCCTGCTAACAGCTCTCTCGGCAGAAGTAAGCAACGCCCCAGGGAGTTAGGATTATAAAGCATGATGAACTCTGGCATAAGTGCTCTCACCAGGGGTCTCACAAAGAATCTCTAATCAACCAGGAGAGGGCCATATACATGGTACATGCTTATCCCAACTCTCACTTCTTGACTCTATCAAAGCATTCTAGCTTCTACAGATGCTAAAAGAGTTATTCCCATAGACAGTATTTTACACCATATTGGTGTTACTTCTTGATTCTCACTAGCTCTGCCAACAATTATCAACACACAATAATACATAAATCCACACTTACCAAAAGAAAAGTCCGGACTGTTCTTATTTTGTTAAGTTCAAGAAGCAATTTTTGTGCCTTCTCATGGTTACTACAATATTCATCATAGATACGAAACTTGTCTTTCTGTGAATTCAGGTAAGAATAAATTAGAATCATTTTATTCACCACCTTGAAATTGTAACCTCTGTGATTGATATGCAGATACAAGTGGTCTTTTATGTTTCAAGATCTATGCTGTGTGTGTGTATGTGTGTAAATTTTGCTTATTCGTTTTCTATGATTCATGAAGAACAGCCTAGAAAAGCAGATAGACGTATATAAAATTCACTCCATTGTGATGAATACTAATAGATAAATGAACGCAAAGGTGGAAAAGCAAAAGTGAGCACTGAGCCTTGCGTGAAGATTCAGTACAGATTGGGAAAAAGAAAGCGACATCTGAGCAAAGGTCAGTGAGATGAATCCATCACTCCCAGGCACAGAGAGAGAAGAAAGTCATTTTAGGTAGCGGGAAAAGCATACACCAGACACAGTATCCTGCAGGGCATACCAGTGTGGACAGCCGTGTTAGGAGGGACACTGACAAAATGGAGAATATCTCACAGCAAGGAACTAAGATAATGACAGACCCCAAAGACACCACTCGGGAGAGGTCATTTCAGAGAGAAATATTTGTTAGTATAGAAAAGTTAGGAAATAGAAGCTGCTTTCAAATAGCATCACATTGTCAAGGACTGAGGATTCCATGTAGCTCCAAAACACTAGGACCATCTGGTAGACCATTGCAAGTACAGTGTCCAGCTTCCAGATTCAGAATCAATATAGAAACTTCCTAACAGTAGAGGTGTCACTGAAAGTGATTGTAGACTAAAATGAGCAGCCTTCACAGACGCATAGAGGGGATCCTTCCCCAAATAGTGGGAATTTTACCATCATTATCTCTAAACTCCCTTCCACTTGTGAGATTTTCTCCAAGTGGCTTATCTGTCAAAGCAGCTCTAACTAAAGAGGAAAAGAAGAAATATTGGTAAAATATTAAAACAGAAATGTGGCCTTTGAAATTTCAAAGGCATGCATTTAGAAACACTAGGTGCTATTTCAATACAGTCAGCAGGGCATGTATTGAATTACTTATCACAGAGATGGCAGGCACCGGGAAAAAAAAACAAACTTCAGAAATAGTTTAGCTAAATTCATGGATGACAGATTCATAACGTGTTGCTTAGGAAATGGATGTCAGGGTGCAAGATTCCCATGTGCAGGCCTGGACTCAGATAGCAAATACTCCAGCTGGCAGAAGGGCCTGATTCTTTCCATTCTTTTGTGAAAGGGGCAGCAGGCTTAAGTAAGTGGACACAGACACCCATGGTGTCCAGCTGTGCCCAAGAGAAAAAAACCTCTCCCTTTAATATAATTATTTTTATGAAATATTTTCTGATGATAAAGAGAACATATACAGAGCCTACTCACTCCCTAAGGACATATCTACAAACTATGTATAGAAATCTTTATGAAGACTAAATGGACAACTTAAAATACACAAAATATAATTTCGATGACAAAATCCTCTTACACGTTTTAAAATATTATATTGTGTAGCATTTGGATAAATACATGAATTCAAATCGGCATTCTCAAAATGGGCATCAATGGATTGGTATAAACAGCCACACTCTTCTTTTTTTTACTACAAATGCCCTTCAGGCCTGAAAGTAATTTCTGCTATTCAGGTGGCTTTGTACTTTGCAAATTAAAGCACTTTGCTTAAATAATTTCAGGTTTCGTGTATAGAAAGATGAAAATGATCATCCAGGCACAGGATATGTAATTTGAAACAACTCAGTCCTCGATTGTTATTCCTTCTGTGCCGCTCAGTACAGCTTTCTGAGAAACCATCCTTGAGGGAAAACCAGTTGCAGGCCCGCTGGGTTTGTTCACCTCTGGGTCTGTTGCAAGTCTATTGACAAGGGAACATTCTGACTAATAAAAGCTGGTCGTGCCATTATTAGAGCAAGGATTTTCTGCCTCAAAAGAAAAATGCTCCATGTTTGAGAGAAACATAAAAATCCATTCATTATGAACAGCCTGAATATTCATTAGAATTCAAAGCTACAGAGGATGCGAAGAACTAACTTGTCCGGGCAAAGAAAAGGCTGTTTATTCTTTACTGAGTAAAACTGATGATGTGAGGCACTCTCCCCTTTTCTGGCTCTAAGTGGAAGATTTCTCTGGCCTTAAAAGACCCCAAACTTGTGGTGTCAGATTTTACTTCTAAATGCTAAATGCACACATGCTACTATGCCAAAAGTTAAACCTTAAAAACTAAGGGGAAAGAGCTTTGAAAATAAAAATGTATCTTACAAAGTGAAGAAAGCAGGTTCCCACGTCATGCTGAGCACTGGGCTCAGGATGTAAGCATTCTTCCACAACTTTTAAGAATTCTTGATGTACTACAAGGATATCCTCGATGTTTGAGAACAACATCTGTAAATAAATAAATGTCTAAGTAAGCACAGTTTGTGAAGCAAGTTAAAAAAAACAAGTCCTGGCTCGGCGCCTGTGGCTCAAGTGGCCAAGGCGCCAGCCACATACACCCAAGGTGGCGGGTTTGAATCCAGCCCGGGCCTGCCAAACAACAATGACGGCTGCAACCAAAAAATAGCCGAGCATTGTGGTGGGCACCTGTGGTCCCAGCTACTTGGGAGGCGGAGACAGGAGACTCGCTTGAGCCCCGGAGTTGGAGGTTGCTGTGAGCTGTGAAGCCACGGCACTCTACCCAAGGGGACAGCTTGAGGCTCTGTATCAAAAAAAAAAAAAAAAAGGTCCGGGAGAGGGTAGTAGTCTCTCCAGGTTGAAAACCTCACATCCACGCCTTCCTCCCACCTGCTGGCAGAGCCTTGATTTTGTCGGACTCCTCCCCCACTCCAACAAAAACCAGGATACCAAGCCTGGATCTCAGGGAGAGGCCTGAACAGCCCAGTCCAAGCACAGTAGTCCCACTCTCTCCTCCAGGATGGGCTGAAAGGAAATGAGATTTGCTGGCAGGCTCTGCAGGGAAGAGTACCTTTGGTCCTAAGAAGGGCACCCTGGAACGGACAGTCCTTTCCTCCCTCTAAAAGGTGCCATGTGTGGAAACGACAGGCGATCCTAGGACAGAGTCCTTCCACAGCATGGCAGGAGCCAGCTGATGGGCAAAGCCGATAACCAGGTGACAGTGAGTAGCTAGAGGGGACCAAGCAACCCTGTTGGCCTCCTTGGGTCACCGGTGCTAGACTTTCTCTTCTGTCTGGAGTCCCTAGTATGTGAGCAAAACTGTCTTCAGAGTCAATCTGAGTAATGGCTTTCTTTTGCTTGCAAACAAAAGTCACTAACTGAAATATTCTCACAGAAGGAAAATTTGAAGATTGAGTATTTAAGTTACAAGGAAATAGAGTCAGAAGAACATTAAAATAAGAAAATTTTTTATTTTTAATAAAATAAAGCAGTAGGTTAACATCACAGATATCAATGATATATACAACTTAAATGAATGATCACTATATGATCATTATTTTCTTTTATAATCCTTTAATTTTTTTAGAACTCTTCATAATTTTCTTCCCCTACAGTTTAAAAACAAATGTTTATATATTCATTTCTGAGTTTAAGATACAGTGTGGACTTTCTACCTTATTGGACCATTCAAGTCTTTTGTTCTTTAGTGAGCACAGATATTTGTTGTCACATTTGCCCACATCCTGCTTTCCTGAGCCACCGTGGTCCTTACACTTCTAGGTTTATTCTTCTTTCTCTATTCAAATTTTCCCAAGACTTTAGTAAAAAGTTGCTCTGTGATTTCTATGCCAACCTCTTAACTCCTGTCTCCTTCCTCAAGCCCTGGGTCCCCTTTCTTTTCAAATTATACCGACTCAAGCTACTGGCACAGGAACTTAAAGAAGCTGAGCGTCCTGAAGTCCCACATCACATATAGAAGTATCCTAAGGGGAGCTAGTATGGGGGCCAAGGGCCAATTATACGTCCTCACCTTCACTGTTTCCTCTGTTACATTTTTGTCAACTTTTGAGGCTGCACACTGGTTCATTCGGTGTAAGAATGCCTGCAGGAAACAAGAAACGGCATTGCGAAGGTGAGAGGAGGTAACACGACGACCGGGTGTCGAGCAGCACTAAATTGATTCTACAAGAAACCAAAGTTGAAAAACCTAATAGTTAACCATAATTGTTTGTTGTAACATGTGAAACCCTTGTCCACTGCTGGGCCTCTCTGGGAATTATACCTCCTTTATAATTCTAGGACAGGGCCAAAAATAATCAAATATGTATAAATTAAGTTCATCCAATAGGGTTGCAACGTTCTGGGGAAAGCATTTAGAGTCAGATGTTTCCTAAACTTCTGAGTATTACAAAACACAAAGAGAAGGCAGCGCCTGTGGCTCAAAGGAGTAGGGCGCCGGCCCCATATGCCGGAGGTGGCAGGTTCAAATTCAGCCCCGGCCAAAAACTGCAAAAAAAAAACCACACACAAATAGACTAAAATCAGATGAACCATGGTATTTCCAATAAAAACAGAAGTGTCAGAAATTCTAAAGTGGCTCTCTTAAGATAGATAGATAGATAGACAGGTAGATAGATAGTTATAGACAGACAGACAGATAGATATCCTTGCCAAAAACTTATTTCTAGGGAAGACCCTTCAAGAAGAAATAAAAGAATTTCCTTTTCCCCTCTATGCTCCTCCACCCAGCTTTTAGGAAGCCAGAATTTAAATTTCTGGGTTTGGGTCAATGTTCTCCATAGTCTTATGGTAGGCCAATAAGCTGATTACTATTTCAAAGATTTAGAATTTTCTTGATGGTCCTTAAGTTTTTTTAAATTTCAGATTAATGTGAAGGTACAAATGTTTAGGTTACGTTGTTTTCAATTCTAAGGTTCAAGTTGTAGTCGAGCCTTTCACTCAGGGGGGTGCTGAACACCCTCACACTGTGCACGTTAGGTGAGATCTGGCCAGCCACCCTCCTTCCTCCATCCTCTCCTCCCCTCTTTCTCCTCTCCCCTCCCCCTTACCAGATTATACTTGTGTTTTTCCTTTCGTATGGACATGTAGTTGTTTACATATTGGTTTCATACTAGTATTGAGTACACTGGATACTTTTTTTTTCATTCCTGTGATGTCATTAAGCTTTGACTGATGCCTAAATAAGCCATTATTTCTGCAACTTAAAAAAGGATAGGATGACTTATTTCATATTTAGCCTTCAAAATGAATGTTTATAAGAAAAAGGAGAAGGGAATTTCCATCCAGCAAATTTGGTTTGTGTCCTCAAGACATCATCTGTGAGCTACCTAGCGACCAGGTAAGATCTTTCCTTCCTTTGTCTGCCTTAAGAACTTTGCCCACCACTGCCGAGTTGGGGCAGAACTGCACAGCTCACCAACTCCCCAGGGAGTACAGAAGTTAAGGGGAACCTCTGAAGACAGCATCAAACAAATGAAAAGTAAAGTAAGAGTCATATTTTGACATGTTACATTTACAAAGATATAATAGAATAACAAAACCAAGATTGTACATAATGTTCCAAAATGATCACCCTAATGACATTGCTAGTAAGAGTATAAAACAACACAATTTTAAGGGCAACTTGACAATGTATCTCAAATTTTTAAATGGCATTTCCTTTAACTCTGCAATTCTACTTCTAAAAATGTACCCTAAGAAAATATTCAAGCAAGGGGTTTCGTTGTGTTGATTACAAAAGTGGGAAAACTGGAAACAACCTACGTGCTCATCAATAAGGGAATCGTTAAACATATTATGATAGATTCAAATTATAGAGTATTATAGGAAGGGTACAATCATAAATGGAATGTGATGAAAACTATACACACACATGTACATACAACAGATATCTGCAAAATATTGACTGGTGAAAAAAAATGATTGAGTAGCCTACTCACGATGGATATGGAATAGTACGCACACACAAAAACAAATACCTACGGACATTTATAATACCACTGTGTGTTCATATTGAGAAAAAATAGGTAGCACATGCCAACATACAATCAGTAATTACCTTTAGGTGATAAGAAAGTGACCTTTGTATACTTTCTTGCTTTCAGAATATTCGACTGTGAGCATGTCATAAATTTTGTAAAATGACAAACATAAGCATTTCAAGGAAATCAAACAAAAGAACCACAACATGTCACTTCTAGGATGAGCTTTGGCACCATTTTTATTCCTGATTCAACCAGTACATGTTTCAGATTCCATAACTATAAAGCCAGATTAGAATTAATATCCCCAGGCTCGGCGCCTGTAGCTCAGCAGGAAGGGCGCTAGCCATATATACTAGAGCTGGTGGGTCTGAATCCAGACTGGGCCCGCCAAACAACAATAACAGCTACAACCAAAAAATAGACAGGTTTTGTGGCAAGCGCCTGTAGTCCCAGCTACTTGGGAGGCTGAGGCAAGAGAATTGCTTAAGCCCAAGAGTTTGAGGTCGCTATGAGCTGTGATGCCACAGCACTCTACCCAGGGTGACAGCTTGACACTCAAAAAAAAAAAAGAATTAACATCCCCAACTTAACATCAGCTAAATTAAATAAAATGAATAAAAATGTATGAAATGAATCAATCACTTGTCTTCTGTGATACAATTTTTTGAACTATTATCTAAAGTTAGGTAGAACTGGTGGGAAAAAAGATTTAGAATTTTCTAATTTTAATTGCCCATTTTAATTAGCATTAGTCTGTTTTTTGTCTTCTTTCTCTTAAATATTTTCTATATACTGGCACCAAACATGTTCTTTAGCTCTATTTAGTCTTAAAATAACATAGTGGTTGACTTGCCTAGCTTACATTTCATATTGACCACACAGTAAACAGGTAACCTCTCATGCAAGTAAAGCTTAAACTTCACCTCTACATTTATAAACTGAACTCCGCCACATTCTGAAAATAGTAAAGTTAAGAGGTAGTAAAAACAAACCAAAATATGAGTTAGAAGGGGGTGTACAAACTTACAAAGTAAACCACATCTTTATCTGACTTTTTATCTTCTTATCCTCCGTGACAATATGGAACTTTTCATTTAACTGTATATGAAAGGAAACCTGGAATCTGTTAGCATTTCTGACCAAGCATTCCTTTTTCCCAAGGGCCTCATTTTATACAAGAGTGAAAGAAGGTTTTAGATGGTTGGCTGGAAGCACAAAATCAGAAAACTATGTGACATTTTTCACAAAATGTTAAAGTCTTCCTTACTGAAGATAAAAATAAATAGGTGTTTTGGGAATCATCCTTTCAGACTGTGGTAATTGGGATATTTAATTCTTCTTATGTCAATCAAGGAAACATTAGTACCCTAGTAATAAAAAGTGTGTGAGGGACTTTATCCACTGTTTTATCTCTGCATTCATTCTGATGGATCTAAAACTTCATCAGAATTATATAACCTTCATCTTGACACAAATATATTTGAAAGTCAGCACTAGAAAATAGCTCCTAATGCCAGTGGTTTTCAAACCATCCACCGTGTTTCAGAGTCGGTCCTTATCCTCAGAAGGTCTGATTCAGCACGTTGGGTCAGGACCCAGACATTTACATGTTCAGCAGGGACCCCCAGGTGATTCTGGTGCAGTTGGTTCAGAGACTGTCTTCCAATGAACATTCCTTTATGTTTATACTTTCAAAGACTGAAAATAACAGACTGGAGAAATAAATAAGTGAGTCAATGGGAAAAACGGGGTTTGCTTATTTTACCTTGACTTTCAACTCCATGTCAAACAATGGTTGTCTCTGTACAACACCCTCTCTCCCAAACAGTTGGAATTTCTGATGCCCCAGGGGTGTGCCCCTCCCAGTCGTGCAAATCACACTCAGCGCTGCATGAACTGGTCACGATCATGTCTGAAGGGCAGGGAGACGCAGAGCCGGGCGGGTCAGACAAGGCGAGGTCACACCTGGAGGCAGGGGGCTCTGGCAGATGCCCCTCTGAGGACCTTCCAGCGTGCACGTGCACTCAGTCTGCCAGCATGCGCCTCGTGACGGCCCAGGACAGCCCAGGACGACATATTCCCAGATGTGACTCTAACCGGGGCTGCTTTTTCCCCACTCGGAGAGCAGAACTCTTCATTTTCCCTTTGCTTGCCCCACCGTGTTTCCTCTTACTGTGTTTGATAGATGCACATGTTAACCGGCATATGCTGACTAAGGTCTAATATAGCTAATAACAGCACATATTCGCTACCAAGAAATCAAAAGAATGAAAAATCTTATTAAACTTAGAAGATGTAAGAAGATGACAGCAATCCCTTTCTTCTCGCCCATTTGTGCTGCTGCTAGTTCAAAAATAAAGCCCTCCATGAATTTCACTTCAGAATACATTTGCTTTCTTTTTTTCTTTTTTCCATCATCATAGCTCACTGCAACCTCAAATTCTTGGGCTTGAGCAATCCGCTTGCCTCAGCCTCCTGAGTAGTTGGAACCACAGGCACTTGCCAAGACAACTGGCTAGTTTTTCTATTTTTAGTAGAGATGGGGTTTCGCTATTGCTCAGGCTGGTCTTGAACTCCTGAGCTCAAGGGATCCCCCTGCCTTGGCCTCCCAGAGTGGTGTGAGCCACTGCACCCAGCCCAGTTCCTTACTGTTTAATTTCAGTGTACAAAATGACCTCCCTTGGCTCAGTGTTGTCCTTCCCACTCTTATCATCAGTCAGGCACACACAGTAGCTCATTCTCAAAAGTTCCACAGATTTTAATGGTTTACACTTTTAATTCTACGTACCTGACACCATATAAATTTCTTCTCATATACATGCTAAACTTTATTACTGTACTCCTATAAATATTCCATGGGTAAATTTCATGTATAAAGGTAAAATGGCAAAAATTTAAGAGAGGCTGCACAGTTGTAGGAAAAAAAGCATACCCATTTCATAAAAATAAATGGAAAAAACAGTAAGAACAAATATTCTCCTTTTACCTCTGGTGAAAAAATTTATTAAGTAGCATACTTAACATGTATAACACTTACCTTCCAAGGAATTATGATTATTAACTTTCATTTATTAGAATATAACACTTACCTTCTAAA